ATATTGACAAATCTACTGGAAGATTGTACTTAATGGATTTTTTTTTACTTTACTTTCTTTTCATGGACTAATGTTAGATTTAAAATTTGGTCACTTGGAAAGTAAAATAAATATGGTTTTGATGGTATTCCTCTACCATAGAGTACCAGGTGCTAAATTCAAGATACCATGTCTTAGGGACATGAGCCAAAACCTCATCATAGGGACATATCATTCATCAATGTCTTCCTAAAAAAATAGTTAAGCATGGTTCTTGCCAATTCACCTACCTCTTGAGATATATTCACTTGCCTTGGATTACACCTATCCAAGAGTTGGCATTAATCAGAAATACTGATTTTGGATTAGGAACTCAAGAGTTGCCACTGACATGAATTCAACAATGATGACTTGGAGGCGGTAGAGTAATAGGGTACCTGTAAACTATACCTAGAAAGAGTCAAGGATAATGGGTGTGCAGTCATAAAGACCATGGAGACCAGACACAAGGAGCTAAGACCACCATAATGTGTATCTACGTGGTCATGATGAGGAAAGAGCAGGCCCTACACCGAGGTATCCTGGGGATACCTGTAGTCAAGAATAGTAATTAATATGACCCAATGCAAAATTATAAATTTGCCTAAATATTATAGGATATTTTGGGGGAATTTTTTTAAATACTTAGTTGAGTTCTCAACCATGGATTTTGTAGATGGTAAGCCAGCTCGTGGTGCTACACAGAATATTAGAAATGGGTTAGATCAATATGTAAGAGCTAGCCAATAAGAGGCTGGAACTAATGGGCCAGGCAGTGTTTAAAAGAATACAGTTTCAGCCGGGCAATGGTGGCACAAGCCTTTAATCCCAGCACTCGGGAGGCAGAGGCAGGCGGATCTCTGTGAGTTCGAGACCAGCCTGGTCTACAGAGCTAGTTCCAGGACAGGCTCCAAAGCCACAGAGAAACCCTATCTCGAAAAACCAAAAAAAAAAAAAAAATACAGTTTCCGTGTAATTATTTCAGGTATAAAGCTAGCCTTGCGGGCAGCCGGGTGCCAGAAATGCAGCCCACAGCTCCCTACAACAACCCAATGCAAAATTATAAATTTGCCTAAATATTATAGGATATTTTGGGGGAATTTTTTAAATACTCAATTGAGTTCTCAACCATAGATTTTGTAGATGGTGCCATGTTACAATATCAAAAGCTTAGACATAGTTGTAAACAGAATGGCATGAGGTTCATGTCTAAAGTCTTGTGACCAGATATGACTAGCCGGAAAAGAAGAACTTCTCAGAGACATTCTGATTTCATATCTACTCACGAGATCGGTTTTCACTCTCAACCTTATATGGCTATGAGTTCGTGTCCTGTCTGCAGCCTCTCTGAACTCTGATGTCAGGCTTTCTTCCTGTGTTAATAGCCATGCCTCAGTTTCCACGTTTTCTCTAAGAAGTGCCACCACTCCAGTGATGTTCTCATTCTAGAGCACGATCTGAAATAAGATATCTGTGTTAGACAGTTTGCTGCAGAGTGTCACTAAAATCATCTTCAACCATGTTTTTCAAGATAATTCTAGAGTAAATAGTAAATGAAGTCTTGTTTCTTTAATGACTGTGTAAATAAACCATCGTGAGCTGCAACAACCAACTCTAAAGCACATCTGTCCTGGTGATCACTATTCTGCATAGGACTCTTGTATTCCAGTGTTCTCATTTAATCATCTCTATGCCTTGCTGAATGATTAGCAATATCTATGGGGGGAAAATAGTCAGGATGTTCTTCTGTCAAGTCTTCCTTGACAGACCAGGTAATCACTATGGAATATATTCTTATAAAATACTATAGGAACCCCTAAACTCCATCTGACAAGGTATTTTTCCTGATAGTCTTCTCCTAAGTTGTTAGTATCCATGCCTAAGCCACCCTTCATTCTTTCTTCCAAAGCACTGGGCAGATCCTTCCACAAACTATGTGCTTAATGTCTGTTTGATAAACAATCAAATTCAAGTTTACCTGGTAGGTAATCTAGAGATGTGAAACTAAAGGAAGGGAATGGCTATTATCAGAAGCCTATGATGTGCCAGGAATTATATACAGTTTGTTTAAAAGTTGATCCAATAACATGCACAATTCTCTTTGTTAAAAAATTCAGGACTGGATAGATGGTTCAGGGCTTAACAGTGCTTGCGGTTCTTTCAGAGAATCCAAGTAGAGAGTACTTCAGGGGTTATTACAGGCTAGGAAGGGAAGAGGGAATGATAGATAAAGGAAGTTAGATAATAAGTCAAATAGAAGGAAGTTATAGTTTCCCACAGCATGTGTGGAGTTGGCAGTAATTTATGTCTTACTCCCTTTTATTGAAAACACAAACACAAAGCAATGATATCTTTTGAAAGGATAAAATTTTAATAGCCCGTTTTATTTATTACAAATTATGAATATGCAGCAAACTATCATACAGTACCTCATAAAAATGCATAGTTACTATGTGCCAATTAAAACATAAAGACAACTAAATACCAAGAGCTTAGGATAAACCAGTGGCTATTTAGATATAATCATTAAGCAACATTTAAGTTATGTAAACCCAGTGTCCTAGCCTTGGACTTCCAACATGAGTTTCAGATGCCTCTCAGTTCCCTAAGCAGACCTTTGCAAGGTTAGGTTATAGATGTTGATCCCTCATTGAACGGTTTTTCACAAATCATTTCACAGATAATGGTCACACCTTTGGACAGTCTGGTTGTGGACACTTCAGGAGTGAGTGCTGGCCCCAACTCTGGCTATCCTCTTTAGAGGTCATGTCATAGAGTTTGAGTCTTATCAATTGGTAGTCCTTCACAGACCCAAGTCATGAATCTATGTGGGTCACACCTCAGCTGCCTTCAGGGGGGGACAGGTTCCAATTCTGTTCTTACTCCTGTGTGGTCCCTTGCAAGACCAGATTCAGATTCTGGTCTTCACTATTAGTTTGACAATGCTGGCCCTGGCCCTAGGCAGCTGCCTGATGTCTGGCATACTGATGCTCAGCAGCTGAATCTGTGCTACCCCGCAGACTCCAGCCAGGTTTCTACCTCACTGAATACTATGCAGTTCTGATGTGAAGTTCCCTCCTGTGGTCTAGAGTAATTATGGATACTCTAGCTTTTAACTCTGCCGAAACTTTTAGTCTGGGCCTGCCAAGCCAGGACTCAGCAGGAGTCTTTGTAACCTGGTGTCTTGCTGTTGATTTGGTAGAGGGTTGAGTGGAGAGGGTTTTGGAGTCTTTTCTAATATTCAGTGCAATGTTTCTTGTCATTCTTTTCTCTTTAAATGTCTGTTTTGGGGAGTATAGCATCAGTTTTCTGAGGCCCTCTGTTTTAGGCCACAGCTCCAACTACACTCTTAGTGAGAAAGGAAGGCCAGTTCCCTAGACCATGCAAATCCATCCAGGACAGACTGGATTCTTCATGTTCTGTTTTGTAAGTCTCCTTTTTTTTTTTTTTTTTTTTTTTTTTTTTTTTACTGTGAGGTTAAATTAGATTTCTTGCAATCAGCTATCTTCTGGAAACTGCCCTAGCTTTTGATATGACTGCACAGAGACATTTCGCATCAGCATTCTCTTCCTACCCACCATAATAAAAGGGGCTGCGCACCCACTGGGTTCTTCTTTTAGTAGACAAGCAGTCCTGGTGGGAGAACTCCCTCTAAGGGGAAGGAGTGGACCAGGCAAGTCCTAGGACATCGGGTTAAGAGACTGAAAGGAGAAAATGTCACTGTCTCACTGGTACATCCTCCATAGTCCAGACTGGAGTTTACTCCATGGACTGCGGAAGTCCCAGCTCCTTGCTTTGTGTGCTGAGTTTCTGATGGGTCTTTTAGATTCCCGTGGAACACATAAACATGGGATAATCCTGGCGCATGAAATTATCCCAGATGGATGATAGAATAAAGGGGTTGGGAACATCTGATCCGGTCCCAAGCCTGCACAGGATGAACATCACACATGAATCACGGCTCCTCATGACATGGAGTCAGAAGCTTGTCCGTGGTCACACAGATGTGGCTTCCGGTTCGTGGCTTGGTAGAGGAAGTGAAAGTGCCTTTCAGCACCTTAGTGTCCCTCGTGCAGAAGCACCGCTTCTCTCTGCCTGAGGCCAGAGTTTAGTGTGTAGCCCCGGGCATTTCCTCACCCACAAGGACCAGCCTGAAAGAGTATGCTCTTGTACACAGAAGTCAATGCAAGAGAGCAGAGGAAATTGTTGGTGGAAGGGGAAAAGCAGGAAAATGCCTGTTAAGAACCAACTTACTGTCCTGGTGTGCAGATGGAGGTTGCGCCCTAAATTTCCCACCTTTTACACGAATTAAAAACACAGCTCACTGAGCAAAAGAATCACGGAGTCCATAGGCATTCAACACATTCGGGCATATGGAAACTCCGAAAGAGATTTGTTTCTTTTTTAAAAGTTATGCATTTCTTGATTATTTTACTGAGCATCGTTTGGCAGTTACGACATACTTTTTTGATAAATGGGTGAGAAATGCTCATCATTAGAAGCTAAAACATATAAAAACAAAGTTGATAAGAAAAATTCAAAGCCATTGAATAATTCTTACCAACCAGATGTTACTACCATCAATGGGTTGGTGTAGATGCTTCTTGTAGTAGATATTTGTAAATATCTGGTAACACCGAATGATTTCAGTATTATTTAATGTGTTATTAAAATTGTTTGAAAGAATTATGCTGTAGGGTTGGAGATAGGGCTCAGCAGTTAGGAGGGCTTGCTGTGTTCCCAGAATTCTGAGTTTGGTTCCTAGCACTCGGGTCAGGCAGCTCATAACCATTTGTAACTCCAGTTTGATGGGATCTGACATATTCTTCTAGCCTTCATGGTACACACACACACACACACACACACACAAAGAGAGAGAGAGAGAGAGAGAGAGAGAGAGAGAGAGAGAGAGAGAGAGAGAAATAAATCATTTTAAAAGAATTGTGTTTTCTATAAAATGTTTTTATTTTTAGGGTGGGTTGGAGGGAAGATGGGGAGGAGCAGGAAGAGGGGAGGGAGGAGGAACTGTGGTTGGTATGTAAAATGAATTTAAAAAATTAAATTTTTGTATTTATTTTTCTAAAATTTAACTATTTTACTAGCATGTATCAATTATCCATAATGGGATTCATCTTGGCGTCTTCGTGCATAATATATTTTGATTATATTCACTTCTCCTTGACTTCTCTTGTCCTTGTCCTACTAAAACATTTTGCTATATAACCCTTGATGAATTCCATGGCTATATTAATTTTCACTTCCTATGCCAAAATTGAGAAGGAAGACTGTAGCAAAAAAAAAAGGCAGACATTAAGTGTTTAGAAACATCTAGATTTAGAACTGCCTACATTGACCTCGCTGCGATTCTTCTTTCAAAAGAGTGAGCAACAAAGAATGAGAAATTGCTTGTCTGTCTCCAGATGAATGTAGGAGGGAGAGTATTCCACTTCCAGCCAGCCATGCCTGAAACAGTTTGAAGAGAAGGACTCAAATACAGAATCATGACAGCTACTTCTATGCTCAGTTTTCTGATTCTGGCCTCCCTCTCTTGAGGTATTAGCATATAACCATCCAATTACAAGCTAAGGAACAGTGTCCTCGGAGGTCCCCGAGTTTTCCAGCTAATCATAGCTTAGACATTGTTAACGAACAGTCTTTTTTGTTGATTGGTATAAGTCAGTTTCCCTAATCAGGGTTCTGTGGCATGAACAGAGCCATACTGTGGTAGTTCTGTATTTACAGAACACCATTATGGTTTCAACAGTGACCAGAGAAACTCGTCTGTGAAGACCAGGAACAGAACTTCTAAACTCTCATTTAGTTTCATTCCTTCTAAACTCTCTCCTCTGCTATATCAGTGATGACCCAACATTAATCATTTCCCCGAAAACTTCGAGTCATATAGGTAACAACATTGATCTATAAATTGAAACATGGCTGCATGTTGGTTATGGTATGCTTTGGGGAGCCATGACGGTGCAATTCAAACTGTTTTTGGCTTCTCTATAGTCCCTGAATACTAGTTAATGTACAAAGACACATTTTAATTTTCCTAAATAACTCATAGAAATGAACTTCCTTTAATCCTGATCCTTGATCACTGGGTCTGATGTATCTCTAAATCATTCATTTAACAGAACTGGCATCAGCACAGAGAGAGATGGGGAAGGACATAAAACTATGTTCTCCAAATGATATAAAGATAAATTTTAATTTCTTTAATTTTGTAAGGAAGAGTCACACTTATTTTTATACACCTACAGTGGGTTGGAAAACTTAAAAGTACAAAATGTACACTTGCAAATTAAATATACACAAAAAGGTATGTGTTTGTACACAGGCACACATACTTCTTGGTCACTCTATGTTTTTGAAAAATTAAAACTGAGATAATAGAGTGGCTGTTGTCTTCTTTGTGATATTTTTATCTGAAAGGAAACAAGGTCACTCACTCACTCACTCACATGAAATGCTTAGGGCAAGTCAGACTGAAGTGTCCCAGGATACTGCAAACAGAATTGTCTTCATTCTTTATCTCAGCCCCAGATAACATCATACACACACCAAAACAGGAGGGCTTGTAGCGATGAGACATCACAAAACGTGCGTGCACGCTACTCTCCCCCCTTTCTTCTGAGAGGACAGCCTCCAGTCTCAGTAAGCCAATGAGAAATCTAAGGCTTGTCCACGAGGTAGAAATACCCTGTACCTGGTGGAGATAAAAGCATGTCAAGAAGGGCAAATGTTGCTACTGACCTCTTCATAGTCAGCAAAAGAATCTGGCACTGGAGACTGACAAGAGAACAGAACAGTGAGCCAAGTTTGGAACAAGGCCAAGAGAGCGAACAAAAAGCCAAAATAGGCTCCCCAGGAAAAGAACAGGTGAGATGTGGGATCTGCTGCTTCTGAGGATGCATTACCGCAGAGTGAACAGCTTGGTTGGAGAAAACGGGTGGGAAGTATACACAGTATGTGTTCACTTGTATGTTATACTATATTTTGTTGCATGCTCAAGTGATCGTTAGTCTTCCAACCAACTATCCTTTGCCAATTTTTCAGCTAACACAGGCTGAAGAGCAACTTACGGTTTCAGGAGAATTGTTAAAATTTCAAGCGACTACTGTTTAAGCAATTGCTTTCTTTCTGTCTTTCAGTTTGCCCCAGGCTCTCTGGTGGATGTCCAGGACTAGTGTGTGACTGGGGCTATCTTCACCATGAACAGCTTCATTGTCACAGCCCTCATCTGGACCACAGTAGCATGTGCTGAAGAAGACAAGCTCCTAGGAGAGACCAGTGAAACTAGTTTTCGAAAGTGCCAACAGGCTTTCAATATACCAGTTCTGGAAGTGCTACCTGGAGGGGGCTGGGATAATCTGAGAAACATAGACATGGGACGGGTGATGGACTTGACATACACCAACTGTAAGACCACAGAAGATGGACAGTACATCATCCCCGATGAAGTCTTTACTATTCCTCAGAAAGAGAGCAACCTGGACATGAACTCAGAAATCCTGGACTCCTGGGTGAATTACCGCAGCACCACCTCAGCTTCCATCAACATGGGGCTCGATTTTCCTTTCAAAGTCAACGGCAAGTTCTCTTCTGAGTTCCAAAGGATGAAGACCCTTCAAGTGAAAGACCATGCTGTAACTACAAGAGTTCAGGTGAGAAATTTGGCCTACACAGTGAAAAACAACCCAAGTTCAGAACTCACCTTGGGATTTAAGAAAGAGCTCATGGAAATATGTGACCATCTAGAGAAAAACCAGACAAAGATGGCCACCTACCTGGCAGAACTGTTGGTCCTCAACTATGGCACACACGTAATCACCAGTGTGGATGCTGGGGCTGCACTCATTCAGGAGGACCACATAAGGTCCTCCTTCCTTAAGAACCACAAGGGAAACCATGTCGCTGTGACCACCTCTGCTGGAATCACTTTCGCAAAGGCTGTGAACTTCAACCCTGAAGCAGGCTTTGATTACCAAAATAGCTTTACCACAGGCTACCTTGCTAACAGAACCAACTCCAGGATGCAGAGCATCGGAGGGGCTCCATACTACCCAGGCATCACCTTAGAAACCTGGCAGAATGGCATGGCTAACCACTTGGTGGCAGTAGACCGATCTGGTTTGCCTCTGCATTTCTTCATCAAGCCTAACAAGCTGCCTGGTTTTCCATACCACTTGGTGGAGAAGCTATCGAAGACAGTGGAAACTGCCGTGAGAAACTACTACAACTTTAACACATACCCAGGCTGCACAAATGTTGATTCCCCCAACTTCAATTTTCAAGCCAATACAGATGATGGCTCCTGTGACGGTAAGGTAGCCAACTCTCCCTTCGGAGGGGTTTATCAGGTGTGTCAACAACTCTCGTACAGTTCACTAATTCTCTGCCAAAAGTTGGAACAGAAGAATCCACTCACTGGTGATTTCTCCTGTCCCTCTGGATACAGTCCTGTCCATTTACTGACTCAGACCCATGAGGAGGGTTACAGGGACACAGATTGCAGACTGAAGTGTACCCTCAAGATCTTCTGTAAGAAAGTGTGTGAAAATGTATTCAAAGTGGCTAAGGCTGAATTCAGGGCTTATTGGTGTGTGGCCAGTAGTCAAGTATCCCAAAACTCAGGACTTCTCTTTGGGGGAGTCTTCACTGACAAGAGCATCAACCCTGTGACAAATGAACAGTCATGCCCATCTGGGTACCTTTCACTGAGTCTGTTACAGAACCTCAAGGTATGTGTTTCTATGGATCATGAGTTGGGGCATAAGTTTTCAATCCCCTTTGGTGGGTTCTTCAGTTGCACAAAGGGGAACCCGTTGGTTAATTCTTCAACATCCAGAGACTTAGGGGAATCATTTCTGCAAAAGTGTCCTGGGGGCTTCAGCCAACAGCTAGCTGTTATCAATGATGGCTGCCAAGTGTCCTATTGTGTCAAGGCTGGCATCTTTACAAAAGATTCCCTAGCTCCTGTTAGGCTACCACCTTACACTCAGCGTCCGCTCATGAGTCAGTCTGACACCAGCTCTAATGAAGAGACGAGTAGCTATAGTGCCGAACCCTGGATTAAGGACTCCTACACTCAGCAGTGGAAGCTAGAGAAGCCATCGGGACTGTTCAGCCGTAGCACTTCAGGAGGAACCATTGCTGGAATCACAGTTGGGGCTATCCTGGCAGTAGGCGTTTTCATTGCCATGGCCATCTATGGCCACCGGAGGTCTAAGAAGAGTGAATACAAAGTAACTTCAAAAATGTCTTTTCCTTCCTTTGCAAGAACTAGAGCCACTCCTGATGGAGTGCAGGATCCAACTCCAGCTTAATTCTTCCCGAAAGGAACAGTTTCTCTCACCTCCAAGCATGGGTTCAAGCATTTCTTTTACTCCTTTCTCCTTCACCTCTGCCTTCCTAAGGAGTAAAATGAGAGCTGCAATAAAAAGACAGTTTTATAATGCTGTGACTGTGTTCATGTCTCTGCACTGGGGACTAAAGGATCAATGTGAACAAGGTAGGGGAAGAAAGATTTCAACTAATTCAGCAAAAGCCAGCCCTGGTTCCCAGCCATAATGGGAGCATGCATTCCCAACAAGGCACAGGTTACCCCCACCTGAATCTCTGTATGTGAAAAGAGATAGGCCAGAGAGCAACAAGAGCTTTGGGATGAAACTGCATTTAGTCTGAAGTCGACAGAAGTTTCCAATTTGTCTGTCAGAAGATGTTACCATCCCTGTATCTTGTTTAGGGTTTTATGCTCCCAGAGGCAGTCAGGACTCTGAAAAGACACAGACATGTAGTGATATTTCACTTGTATTTTAATAAATAAAGCATGCCTGAAGTTCAGAGAGTAAAACCGTCACACTGATCAGCCTTACAGACCAGGCAGTGGTGATACACACCGTTAATCCCAGTATAGCCACACTAATTTGCCACAGAAGCCGGCAGTAGTGGTGCACACCTTTAATCCCAGCACTAGAGAGGACTATACAATGGGAGGAGACAGCTCTCACACACAGTCTCATTCTGAGATTCCTGGAGACAGGATCACTATTTCGGACTGAGGTAGAGGTAAGAGCCAGTGACTGACTCGTTTGCTTTTCTGACCTTCAGGCAAACATTATTTATTAAAATACAAATACCAAGCCCATTTTCTATGTCTGCCCTACAGTTAGGATTTCCTTTGCCCAGATCAGTTTTAGACTTCTGAATAGTGTCAACAAACCTTCAGGAAATATTTTAACTTACAAACTTCTCATATGAGGTCAGAAGCAAAAGGGTGGTGGGAAACTGGAAATAAATCAAGACACATAAAAAACTCAAGAGGACTCCAATGTTCCAGGAACTGGCTGATTTCTTCTCGCTGGCCTCAGACAGACGTTGAAAGGGACTGTTGTTTAGATAGGTCAATTATTATGGTTTAATCTCCGATGTTACCAAAAATATAACTCTTTCTTCTTCTGTGACTAACACTCACCCTTCATGTCTTCCCACCGCAAGTGTGGGAAAAAATACAGAGACACAAACATACATACACCCCATATTACAAGTCTTTATTTTCCAAGGGGTGAAAAATGCTAAAGTCAAAATAAGCCCCCCACTTAGGTTTACTTCCTCTTTTAAACTAAAACCAAACCCAAAATTCATTATGTCCTGTTCTTTCCGTTTTGGCTTGCTTTCCCTGCTAGACACAGGGCTGATGTGATAAAAAAAAAAAAAAAGTTATGCCGGGCGGTGGTGGTGCACGCCTTTAATCCCAGCACTCGGGAGGCAGAGGCAGGCGGATCTCTGTGAGTTCGAGAACAGCCTGGTCTAGAAGAGCTAGTTCCAGAACAGGAACCAAAAGCTACCGAGAAACCCTGTCTTGAAAATCAAAAGAAAAAAAAAAAGGTTATGTCATTAAGTTAACTGGAAAAGGCCTCAAGAACCACTTGTGACATTTATTTCAATTGAAGAATGACTTTCATGGGATATCTGGCAGGGTACATTATTGACACCTGGCAATAGTTGGGGTTTTGTTCAATTTTAATATCTGATTTGATTCTCTACAACATAGAAATTACTCCACAGCCGCTTCAGAAACTGTACCTATTCACCACAGCACGTGACCAGTGAGCTACCTTCTATGAAAGACCATGTGTTCTCTCCTCACTGTCTACATTCAAGGGCTGTGCACACAGTAGGCCCTCTGGGTGCACAGTAGTCTCAGCCTCTGGGAATGTGGGAAGAATTACTCATTCACTGCAGAGAAGAGTGGAGAGCTGAATTTGAATTCTGCCTCCCTCCTGCCCAGTCAAAGGGGGTTGACTCCATAACCTCTTCACCAAACCTGCCCTTTTCAGTATTAAAATGTTCAATATTAAAACTTTTTCCTCCATGCCTTGTGGATTACTGAGTGAGTTTTGCTTCAGTCAAGCTAAGAATTTGTCTTAAAGTGCTGACTTTCCTCTGTGAATTCTTTAAGGATTACTAAGCCTGTACAGCACAACAGGAGACTCCTAGACCGAAGGCACCAACCTCCCATTGAGACAAAAGTATCTCACTTATATTTCTACTAACAAAGATGCATATAAATATTTGTTAAAATGTATACTGGAAGCCTTCATTACCTTCTTATTGTGTTCTAATCAGTGTTAGAATCATTAAAACTAAACGTTTATTTGAAGGGGAAAACCCACCTGCAAATGATTAAAGACTATACTCCATCGTAGTCACGTGAAGTCACTTTCAAGAAGTTGGTATTCAGGACCTGAGACTTGAATCAGCAGCTGAGAGCACTTGCTGCTTTCTGAAATTGTATTCCTAACACTCACACAGCAGCTCACAACCCTCCACAACTCCAGTCCCAGGGGACCCACTTCAGGCAAAATACTCTTACACATAAAATCAAAACAAATTAATATTAAGAAGAAGTTAACATTTCTAGCTTTCAAGATAACCATTTTCCCACAAATTCACACTCCTTTCCCTTGCCATGTGGTCTGTTTAATTGGGAGGAACCTAGACACGGGCCAGGTCAAATGTGTGGGTAGAAGAGATGCTGAGATTTTTAGAAAATAAAGGGGGTTTCCCTTTATCTAGCTAGTCGGACTGAGGTTGCTCACACATAGAGGAAGTAATCCACATGCTTCTGAGACAGGTGCCAAAGCACTTCTACAAAAGCAGGCCCTTCGGAGTAACCACAGTTTGCGCTTGTTCATTTGCAGTTCATTGTTCTGCAATACACCTCATGAGCACCAGGGGGCGATGTCCTCTCGTAGAGCAACACCAAGAACTTCAGAGCACAGCAGTTACAAATGGAACACCTGACCTCTGGACCTTCACCAGCCCTCTCCGGGAAACCCCCATTCATATGCTGTTGGTAACAGACAAGCAAAGGGGGCAGCAATTGTTTCTTATGCTCTCACGCTGTTGCATGCCAAGCTCCTCTGAGATAAAAACTTTCCATTTCGGAGGGAAGCTTCTCAAGACACAGAATGTTCTCCAGGGAAAGCAAACATTCCATCTTGTATGTCACACTCATGTCTGGGGGCATCAGGGCAGGCACTCAAGGCAGAAGCTGAAGCAGAGGCCATAGAGGAACGCTGTTCATTACTGTGCTCCCTATGACTTGCTCAGCCACATCAATGTGCATTAACCAAGAAGACGCTCCTCAGGCTCGTCCACAGGCCAGTCTGTTGGGGACATTTTCCTAAGCTGACTTCCCTCTTCCCATGACTCTTGCTTATGTCAAGCTGGAAAAAAAAAAACTCACCAGGACACTCCCTAAGTTTGGGAAATAAACATCTCAAAAGCCCAGTGTCTCTTTCTCTTCCTGCTGCCTATAGATCTAGAACTCTCTGCTGCCCCTCCAACACTATGTCTGCCCGTGTGCAACCATGCTTCCTGGCATGATACTAAACCTCTGAACTGTAAGTCGGCCCCAATTAAATGCTTTCCTTTACAAGAGTTGCTGTGGTCATGGTGTCTCTTCACAGCAACAAAACCCTACGACAACTAGCTATGTATAAATAGAAAGGACTGCTGAGAGACATTCTCAGATAAGTTGAACTGCCTAGAAGAGGCTCAGACCAGCCAAGCTGCCTAGAAGACGCAAGATGATCCCTGAAGAGTCACCTGGAAGGAGTTCACATTACCTGAGCTGGCTGGAAGAGATGGTCTCCAAACTGTTGAGCCCCCTTCTGGCTGTACAGTGTGCTCTGGGTTTCCATCTTCTGTGAGCCTGCCCGTGCTAGGGTAGGCTGTTGGTGATGCAACTGTCTTTGTGTCATTTCTGATTCTAAAAGTAACCCCTCACCCATATTTCCACAAGAAAATGAGAACAAAATACAAACAAACAAACAAACAAACAAAAACCTCACTGGCTCACCAGGAGGTACTTCGGAGGTATCCGAACGTGGTTGGTCACCAGTTCCACATCTGGCATGAGAAACAGGGCTGCACAACATGAGCACGAAGTGGGGCAAGATGGGGAAAAGTAGTTTTGACCAAGTTTGAAACCACAGGGAAGTCGGAGTCTTACGAAAGGAGAGGGGAATGGAACACAAAGGCACGGACTACCACAGATATACCACCCATCTTCAGGGATCAGCGTCTCATGAGGTGTGACGAATCCCACTTGTCATCCCTGGAGTCCCAGGCAGGGAGAACATGGCTGCTGGTGCTGAGACTGTGAAAGGAAAAGCATGGGGTCCCCTGCTTGGCTCAGCAGAGCACACTGGAGCTTCTTTTGAAAGCAAAGTGGCGCTAGGCCCAGGGTTTGCCCTCCTTTAAATCGTGACTATACTCTTATATGTTGGGAAAAGAGAAGAGGCAAGAGATTTCCCCTGACCTTTAGGGGCTTTCTGAGCCCAAGCCTGGGTACTGGGGCCTTAAATGATGTAGGAGGGACACAGGCCACTGATCTTACGTTCAGTGCTCTAGGGGTTAAGAACTGTCCCCAAAGTCACGAAGACCTGTTTCAACACAGATGTGACTCTAGTTCCCATTAACCCAGACCGAGGAATTAGCATAAACACCATGTGAGTGTCTTAGGCATCTCAGCAAGAGGCAAAACTAAAAACTCAGGGAGAGTTACCACCACAAGCTGGGCAAACCACCTCACCACAAACGGCTCTGGTGGAAATAAAAGTATGATGCATAAATCACACATCACACATAGGACACGTCACCAAGAGGAAGCGCTAGCAGGTGCGCCAACGGTGATGTGCATGACATAAATTAAGACTATCCTTAATTTGACCGAGTGGACTATCTCAGCCATAATGTGGAGTCAAGAAGATTCCTACAACTGACTCACAGATCCTGGGCCGTGTGTCCTAGAGATGCTGTAACCTACGTTAGCAGATTCTGCAGATAGGAAAACAGAGACTCAAAGACAGAACTGACTTCCTTAAAGGCACCAGCAGCTTAGTGGCAGAATGAGGAATTGAATCCAGTCTCCAGGTTTCCAGCTAGCTCTGTGTTACTTTGTGTGTGTATTAAGGAAAGAGGCTGCATTCAAGTGTATATGAGTGTGCATGCCTGTGTGGAGGCCAACTGAGGGTATTGGGTAGTCTCTGTCTCTCTCCATCTCCTTCCTTCCTTCCTTCCTTCCTTCCTTCCTTCCTTCCTTCCTTCCTTCCTTCTTTCTTTCTTTCTTTCTTTCTTTCTTTCTTTCTTTCTTTCTTTCTTTCTTATTATTTATTTGAGTCAAGTCTCTGACTGAATCTGATGCTAACCATTTGGACAGGCTGGCTGGCCAGTGAGTTCCAGGCATCTGTTTCCTACCCCTCACTCAGCATTGAGACTAAAGACCTGTGCCCCTCTGCTTCCCAGTCTGACTGATACAATAATGGGTGTCAGGTAGCCAAACCTAGGTCTGTATACTTACATGGCAGACACTCCATTGACAGTCATCTCCCCAACCTACTGTGATATTTTTACACTGTATATGTTGAGTCCTTGTTGTACCTTCCCATGCTAATACCCTTCCTCTCCCTAGACCCGTTCCTATTTCTATAACTTCCTCTTGTGGAGACAAGCCTAGAAAAGCTGAACGACAGGGAGGAGGGTCTTGAAACAGTCTTAGGGACATGGCATGACCAAGGCACTGATGTACTCACGACAGCTGCTTTCGCTAGCACAGGAACTACACAAGACTGAGACAGTAAATATCCAGCCTTAGACGGGGAAGGAGCTCATGGGCCCCACTTGAACTCACCAAGGGAACGAAGGGCAGCTAAGGATTGCAGGAAGAGAGGAAGTAGCTGTCTTTCGTGAAGAAACCACTGGTGAGTTCCTGTGTTGCGGTGAATATTTTTGCTCCCAAGTCCACATAAGTGGCCCTGGTTAAGCTTGGTGGGTCACAAAACAAAGGGAAAAACAGAATAAAAAAGACATAAAATGGGGATGGGAACTTGATGGGGGAGCGGGAGGATTGATGGAAGACAAGAGAGGGTTTAGGGATGAATACAACCAGAATGTGTTATACACGAGTATGACATTGGCAAAGAATAAAACTTTTAAATAAGATAAAGGCCCTGCTAATCTCCTCTTGCCCTGCTTACCTCTGACTCTTCCTGTTCCTGGTGTCTACCCTCCATTCTGTGCATCTACAAGCTTGCTGCTTTTCATAAACGATTGAGGGTTTAGGCTGTTCATCTTTCTGTGTCCACCTAGCTTCAGTACAGCGTTCTCTAGTTCGAGTCATGTTGCTGCAGAGGACACGATCTCGTGCTATCTGAGGAGTTATCGATTTTCTCCATCCACTGAGTGATAGGCATCAGGATTTACTCCGTGTTTTGGTCATGGTGGGGGTGCTGCACAAACATGGGGCACAAGCATCTTGTTGGTATAAAGATTTTATTTCCTTTGTGTGTATACCTGGTCTGCTCAAGAAACTTCAAATTTCTTGAGAAGTATCCATGCTATTTTCCATATAGCTGTACTAACTTCTATTCTCACTAATAGTGCTAGTTTTGTTTTTTTGTTTTGTTTTGTTTTTTGTTTTCTTTTACTTTTGGGGGCCCACCAGCCAGCTCCCAAATAAACACCTGGAGGCTTGTTCTTACTTATGAATGCTCGGTCTTAGCTTGGTTTGCTTTTAGTCAGCTTTTCTAACTTAAATTAGCTGTTTCTTTTTAGTTATATTTTGCCTCTGGGACTTTGACCTTTCTTTATTCTATATATTTCAAAACATATCGATTGTAATAAATGAAAAAAATCATTTAATAGAAACACTGACTGTTATTCTGAATTTTCTTTTGTATTACCTGATGATAAAACAATTATGGAATTATGAAACCTAACAACAGTTAACTCAGAGAAACCCAAAGCCATTCAATCACATCTTTTGAATCTTCCTCAAATAAGAAGTCACATAGCAAGAAAGGTATGATAAGTAAGAAAGGAAAACAATAAAATTCTGTGCTGAGCTCTTCAGGCCAAGGTCCTGTTTCCTGGTGAAGGAAGATACAACAGACCTTTCACGGTAGACTCATCACTCAGAAGCCTGAAGAAAAGTGGGGAGGAAAGAGCTAGTCACACTTGCTCAAGCTTTGTATACTTGAGTTTGCAGGGGAGATGAAAAGGAAGCAGTTGGGGAGGGAGAGCAGCAAGTAAAGCACTAACAAGTGTGAGGCCAGAATTCCCACCCCCAGGACCTGCATTGAGGCTGAGAGGATGTGGCAGCTCATCTGTAATCCTAGCGTGCAGGAGCCAGAGACAGGGGTCATCACAGCCAACTGGCTAACTGGCGTAGCAAGAACAGTGAACTGTGGGTTCAAAGGAAACCGTGCCTCAATACTGACTAAGTAGAGAGCAAGTGAGGAAAGGACTTGAAGTCAGCTCCAGGCCTCTACACACATATTTCCACACAACACACAAACACACATACATACATATGAAAAAATAAGGGTAAGGGTGTCCTACCATTCTGACTTTTGCAACAATATTAAATCTGACATTGGCTATTGCGCAATAGCACCTACAATGAATGTCTGGCCAACAACAGATATTCAGTTCTGTTTACCTCACAGAGCAACGAAACAGGTCTCCATTGGAATGTTATGGAAATCTATATTGAGACTGTGCTGAGGCAGCCTGAGAATTCAGAGGAACTCGAAAGTCTAGTTAGCAACATGTGCAATTGGAATCATGGAGGGACAACCAAGACTAAATCTTCAAGTCTGCGAACCTAAGATCCTAGAAAACAAAAACAAAACCAAACAAAAGGACCCATGTTGTAGATTCTACGTTGCTGACTGTGTAAGAATATGTATGATGCTACATGTCCAGATCCAAGTTATCTTTAGTCTCTTCAGCTCCTATTTATCATCTATTTCTGCTTTTGACCTAACATGCTTGTGGCTATCAGGTGCAATACCTTTTGGAATGTGCACACAGACCACCAGTTTCCACCCACTCAGAGGGGGAGGACGTCACCATCTTCAGACAGCATCTGAAGCTTGAAGTTGTTGTAACCCGCATATCTACCTATCCGACGTTCCTACCAATGTATCTGAAAAACAACTTTAATTATGGCTTTCTTTGTTCGGTCATTATAAAAAGCTCGTGAAATCATTATCATAGTGGAACTTAAGGAAAGCTGAATCTGTTTCCCTAGCACATGGTAACTTGGATTTAGCTTCAGAATAAACTCTTATATTATCTTTCATGTAAAAGCCCTGTTTATGCATGGACAATTTTAGTACCTGAACATGAGACCTCAAGGATGGTCCATATTCATTGTAAGAGTCACCCAAACCAGAGCCACGTACCATCAAAGGACCCATGTGCCCGACTTGTGCCTCATTGTCTCTTCTGGTAGATTCTGGTAACTTCTTTCTGGGGCCTGGGCCTCCCTGTCTTTTGGTTAGTACCCAATAGGTTTATTCTGAGCTGGTTGGAAGGATTCTGTTTCGATACTGGGGGGAGGGGGTTGTAGGGTGTGCTTTCTTTGTTTGTTTCAGAGTGTTCTGTTTGGGGGCATCTGTTTTTGTTTGTTTTTAGAATGTTTGATTGTTAGCTTGATGGCTTTTGTTCTTGTCTCCTGCCATCACTCTCATATGGAAGTAGCATTTTTCTGCCACCTCCCCTGCTTAATGTCACTTCTCTGTCTTCAGCTCAGGCAGCAAAGAACCTGAAAGAAAACTAAGATCCCCTAGCTAGCTTAGGGAAGCTGGCAGCTTTCAGGAGAGAATTGGAGACTGAAGCTCAAAGAGGAACTGCTACAGAAAACCTGTTTCGGGGCCTCCATGTGCCTTTGTTTGGTAACTGTGAGAAGTCCTCGGTGGACACTAGAATTATAGTTGGACAGCTTAATTAGAATTTTAAAATATCTTAAAGAAATAATCAAATTTGTAATTTATATTTAAAAAGAGCTTTGGAAAGTATAAGTTCAAAGGTGATGTTAAAACCAGATAGGAAATTAGGAAAATCTTAGAGGTTCTGTCAGAACCAAAGGCAAATTCTGAGAGGTCTGTTAGCTCCCTATTCTCACGTACTCTCGAATGTTGCCTTTTTCTTACCTCCAAGCAGAACAAATTCTGTTTGAAAGGAAAAGACTATTATGGCCTCTAACATAAAACCTAGAGGGGAAAAGTTCCATGCTATAGTGACAATTTCCACTTGTGTGAGTGTCTTTTGGCTTATTTGTTCATAAACAGAGAAATACAAGAATCCAATTTCAACAACACACTTCCCTTTGATATTTTCCCTTTGGGTAGGCTTTTCTTCTGGGTGATGTAGAGGTGTGAACTATTGTGTCTTGTCAAAGAAGTACTCTCTGGCTGTATTACATGTGTTCATGATAATCTACTTGTTTTTTAAGAAGAACGAAACTCCCTGCTCTAAAATTCCTAAACATAGCTTTAAAAAAAAAAAACTATGCCCACTTTGTCTTACATTTTAAATGTTACTTTGCTCTAGAATTACCACTCTTGGCATAGGCATGTCTGATTTAAGATGCGTGTGTGTTTGTGAGTGTGTGTGTGTGTGTGTGTATGTGTGTATGTGTGTGTGTGTGTGTGTGTGTGTGTGTGTGTGAGAGAGAGAGAGAGAGAGAGAGAGAGAGAGAGAGAGAGAGAGAGAGAGAGAGAGAGAATGTAGACTTTTAAGGGTGTGTTTTGACTGCAGCTGGCTCTTTTAAAAACAGGTTTTTCAAGATCCTTATCTTAGTCAAACCTAGTTAAGATATAACTCTAAAGTTTGGTGGCAAAAAAAAAAAAAAAACAAAAAAACGATCATTTCAAGCTTTATTTAACCTACATAAAGGCTTACGAATGTATCTTAAGGCTTACAGTTGATCCCAATGTGTTTTAATATTTTGTAAATGTAATTTGTCTTTTACAATGTATTTGGGACAATAACTAATTTCTATACCGCCTTTAGCTTTGAGGAAGAAAAGAAACATTTGAGTAGAGTGCCTGATAAACGATTAATATGTTTACTACAGCGGTGGAAGAGAGTTGACTTAAAGTGAAAGAGATGAAACAGGGTGGAGACAGAAATGCCTGACTACCCCTCCCCCCATACCACACACATCTTTTGTAACAAAAGCAATTTCTAAATGCCAGTTATACGATTTAAATGTTTAAGAAATAGCTCGTTTAAATTTGTTACAACAACACAGAAAAGGCTCACTGTTTTGCCTTTATTTATAACTTCTAGATATTTAAGATACAACGTATGTTTTCAGTTGCTGTAATTAAAGGTCATTAAAAATTCCTAAGGTCAAAACTCTATACTCTGTAAAACTGGTGCCTGATTCTCTATTTAAAACAATAATGTTTTCTTAAATATTGATTTCCTCTTAATATTTACAGAAAACTAGCTTAGAGATCAAACGTTTTCTTAATAATTTCTTTACAAATTTTTAGATTTAGTGATTTTTATTTTCCAAGTATTTTTGCCTGAATGCACGTATGTGTACCACAGAGGCTAGAAGAGGGTGTTGGATCTGCTAGAACTGGAGTTACAGACAGTTGTGAGCCACCATGATGGTCCTAGGAACCAAATATACATT